TGCCATTAAAACTACAAATAAAAAATCCGCAAGCCATGGTTTTGGTGATAAATATTCGATCAAATATAAAAAGTCATTAAAAAAGTCTGTCTGAAGGAAATCATTAATTTTGTCGATTTTTAGTTTGTTGGAATTGTCAAGCGCGATTTTTAATGAAGATGGGAAGGTATTTCGTTTCGTCGAAGAAAATTTTTTTAAGAAATCAAAAAATGGCCAAATATATATTCAAAATAATTTCAATTAATGTGGCCAAATATTTTTACAAATTTGACAAATATTCGCGTCGCTTTCTCATGCGGAATTACGACATTCTAATCCTTGGTATAGAATCAAACATTGGTCAACGAATTTGGACGATCATAAAGCAAGATTTTTCCTTTTTATCAGTAGCTGTTCCAATGTCAAAATATTCCAATTCTATTGAAATTCCCAATAATCAAGTGAGATTGGATTTTAATAAAGACCAAATATTAAAAAATGTTATTTCGTCATTCAAAATTATAATTGTTTGTAAAAACACCAATTATAATAAAATCGAAAATTTTGCCAAAGAACAAAATGTTAAGTTCATAAAAGCCTATCATTTTACACCACAAATTGTTATTGATGTTGTAGTTCGAAAATTAGGATTAAATGATTTGGAAATCAAACAATTAGAAATTCCTGCAACATCAAAAAACGTTTTCAAATTTTTATTTCTTGACAAAAAAGATTTTCTCCCCATTTCACAAAATGGCAAAAAACTGATAAGAATTGGTGAAATTCATCTCAGTACTAAGAATATCAACTTCTATCTTACTTTTTCTTTTGGTTTTACAGCCTATTTATTTTTTATTTTGGGAATTTTTTTGAAATTGTTCATTCTGATTAAAAAATATGTTTTTAGAATAAATAATTATATTGCCATTCCATTTAACTCCGAAAAAGATATTTGGGAATTGGTTGTAGAAGAAAATCCAGGAAATCAAAAGGAAAATCAAAGAAAAAATCAAACCCAAAATCAAAGAAAAAACACGAAAAAAATAGAAAAATTGATTTCATTGAGTCCCAGTCAAGATGAAACTGAAATTATTCTGAATTATTTAGTTCTTTGTTTGATGAATCATTTACAGCTTTGTAATCCTTTTGATAAATATAACTTTAATTCCTTGAAAATTTGGTGATTGTCATAATATGATTGATTTTTCATTGAATTTTTGGTTTTATGTTTTGTAAATTAAAATTATTGTGAATAAAATTTTTTTATATTTTATGTTTTTCTGATTAAAAACGGAATTTATTTTCGTATATTTGTGTGTTTGATTGTAACTAAATTTCTTTTGTTGATTAGGCAGAATTAAGAAATATCTTATTTTTTGGAAATGAAGAAAAACTGAGAAATGGAGGATAAATTGATTACTAACGAATAATAAATATTGAAAAGTCAGATTTTTCGAAAAAATTAGTTTATTTTTTTCGAAGTAAATTCTAAAATGAATAATAGATTTCAAAACGAAGTTCAAGAAGCTATTGAAATTCATAATATGTTATTAGGGCTTGATTCACTAGATGTAGAAGCTGCATTTGCCAGAGTTATTTCATATCTTAAAACAGATTCGCGATCCTTAAAACTCCAAATCTTATTAGCCTTAAATTACGCTATATTTTGGAGGCCATCAAAATCTAATCATTTTGAAATGATCATTAGGAATATTATTCCAATTCTATCATCTTCAGACTTTTCCCATGAGCAACTTAAATATGAAATTTTTCCTTCAAAACAATTTACAAAATTGATTAATAAAAAATCAAAATCAAAAACAACAGAAACAGAAACCAAAACAGAAAAAACGCCAACTTTGATAGAAATAATCAAACTAGATGATGTTTTATCTTTCCAAGACATTTTATCTCAGTCTAATATTGATATAGATGACTCAGTTACTTCATCAGATGAATTTAATGTATTTTTAAGAGAATTACATGGAATAAAGAAATCAAAAAATGAATCTAAATTGTTAAATCTTGCAGCATTTTATGGATCCATCAATATTTTCAAATTTCTTTGGATGAATAATGCCACTATATCTTCAACAATCACTAATTATGCTGTCATTGGTGGAAATTATGATATGATCCACTTAATAGAAAAAATCCCTTTTAACAAGATGATTTATACCCAGCTGTGATATTTCATCGAAATGATATTGTTGAGTATTTAATTAATAATTTTCAAATTACAGCTGATCTTAAATCATTGAAATTTGCAGTTAAATATAATAATATAGAGTTCTTTTCCAATAATTTAGATGTATTTAATTATTTCACTCATAATGAATTGTCGTTAAACGCACATATAATGATGAATAAAGCAATTAAAAATCATAATATCACATTTTTCAAATTAATTTATTCTAAATTTGGCATCGAAAATGAAGAAGATTTCAAAGAACTAATGAAAAATTCAATATTGAAAAAATCATTAGAAATTTTTAAATTTTTAGTATGTGAATGTGGTGATAAATATAATCATATATTTAGCTCAATAAAATTAGATGATATACTACAATCTTCAAGTGATATAATTAAAATCCTTTATGATAAAAAGATCATTGATATAAATACAAAAACATTTTTTGATTCTGCTGCATTTTCAATTATAGAAATTGTAGAATATATCAATAATAATTTTACTTTTGACAAATTTGAAAACAATGAAACACCTTTACATTCTGCATGCAATAATGGTAATATAAAAGTAGTTAAATATTTATGTGGAGTTCATAAAGAGTGGATTAATATGAAAGATGACAATGGTGTTTTGCCTATTCACAATGCAGCTATGTCGAACAATTTGAAAGTATTAGAATTTCTTATTCATAAGATGAAATGTAATCCAAATAGTACTGATAATGAAATGAGAACAGCTTTGCATTATGCTGTTGAGTATCGAAATATTGAAAACATAAAATTTTTGTGTTCTTTGAGAAGTATTGATATCAATATGAAAATAATTAATGGACAAACACCTTTAGAAATGGCGTATGAAAATAACTATACATTGGCTATTGATACTATCAAAAATCGAGGAGGGAAAAGTAATATTTTTGCAGATACTAGTTTTTTCGAATTTTCATTGTTTTATCTTTTGCTCATGCTCTAGTTTTTTCATTTTATTCATTCAGGGAATTATTATCCTTATATTTGTTTTTATTTTTCTGTTCTTTAACTAGTAAAGAATATAAAAACAAGATATATATGCATGCAAAATGGAAGAACTATTAAAATTTAATTTTTTTATTAAATATCCTTTCATAAGATCCCCTTTATATTTATTTTACTTGATAAGATAATGGATTATCTTAGTAACCCATATGAGGGAATTAGAAAAAAAAAATAGTCACGTTGGTATCAGATGTAGAGAATGTGGCTGATGTTCTATTTATATTGGTGGGTATTATTCCATTCATTGTAAGTTTATATCCTTTCATTGTAAGTTTATATCCTTTCATTGTAAGTTTATATCCTTTCATTGTAAGTTTATATCCTTTCATTGTAATTTGATTTGGATTGTTGTTGATAGAAGTGTTATATGGTTCTGACCGAATTTTTTTCAGGTTATCATTTCTTTCTGCTATTATTTCATTCATAAAGCATGAATCTAAACGCACACACACACAAATATTTCATAAAGCAGAATCTAAACATAAATAAACATGTTTATAAATAAAATCACAAACAAAAAAAGCCCACTCATTTGACTTCAGTTGGTCTTTTCCGAATAATCTTCCATAATTCATCGCTCGACAATTCCGCCATTCTAAATCTCTTCAAATATTCCGGAAGCTCTGTAATATTTTTAGATTTATTAGATACTTCATGCCTGAACATTTCCATTTTCCACTTTTGTGTTGTTTCTTCTTTAAAAACTTCTTTTGAGTGTAATTTCACTGCTAGCATAGCTCTGATTCTTCTTCTTCCTTCTGGATCGATGTCATTCAATTCCTTGAAGAAGCCAGGCGCATTGATGAACGACTCTGATCTTTCGACAATTTCATCAATTGTGAATCCCTCTGAATTTGATTTCAGAAGCTCCAGAAGTGAGTCTTCGAAGCGCATCGTCGTGCTTATCATGTTTTCTGGCGCAGTGTTACATTTCCAAATGCCGCTTCCTTTTTCCGTTTCGACGAATAGAAATAATCCACTTTTCCTTGTTCGAAAATTGATGTGGAGAAGGCGAATATTTGCTGTATCTCGATAGTCTTTGCTGGAGTTTTTTCTGATGAATTGCCAATGTTTGCGAAGGAATTTTAGAATTTGATTTTCGCTTGAACAACCGCCATTAATATTGATGCAGCAAATGATGGCTTTCTGTGTAACTGTAAGCGTTTTACTATTTGCGATTCCAGCTTTTTCAAACGGATGGGTCGATTGTAGAATCATAGCCTGTTCTTCGGAAACTGATTGAGAGGAAGACTGGGTTTGATTAACCAAAGTTGCGTCATGTTGTTCTTCACTTAACTTTTCACTACTTTGACTTCTCGATTTTCCTTTCTTTGACATCTGATCAAAAAGGCTTGTGGATTTTTATCTGATTAAATTTAATTTATTTTGTGTGAGCAATTTCACGAATTTGGTGAAATTAAGGTGAATAAAGGTGATATTAGACAGATGATGATTCTTTGTGTAAAATAGATTTCTGAAGACAAATAACTTTTTATGAATCCTACGCGATATTTTTTGACAAAATAATGGATTAGTGTAATTGAAAATTTGATGTACGATTATTCTTTTGTGAGAAGATTTTGTGAAATAAATATCACAAGATTGAATACACCGTTATGAATAATTAAATATTTCAATAAATGTAATGTATTGAAAATTGAGAGGGTTTTCGAAAATAGATTTATCTTTTTGAAGAGTTATCAACTTTACAATGTATTGAAAGTCTTTCAAATTTTTCTTGCCAATTCAATTTTATTAATCAAAGATCTTCTATCTCATCTTAAAAACAATGTGTAGCCTTCGTAGCTCAGTCGGCTAGAGCATCGGACTTTTAATCCGAGTGTCGCGGGTTCGAGTCCCGTCGGAGGCATTTTTTTCTTCTTTTTTGTTTTTAAAACAATTATTATTTTTCGAAATTCATGATTCTCCACATTGTAAATGAGAAAGAGGAGTTAATGACAAGCTTGTCCTGTCAATGAAATGAATGAGACTAGATGATAGTATAAAACAAAGATATAAAAAGAGATATTAATTCAAAAATAAGATGTCTTTAAATTTACATAAATGAAGAAAAAAAATGAGAAGAAGGTGAAATGAATTAGTATTTTCGCTGGTTGAACAATTTTGGCTTTCTATCAGCTTCTTCTTTGGATTCCCCGTGCCTGATTCTGGTTTTCTTCGGACGATCGTCGACAAGGAGGGTTCCGAGATTGATGACTTCGGGAAGAATGACGTATCTAATTGAAGCACCACGAATTGTCATGTTTTCGAGACGTTCTTCGGGTTGTCCTGGTCTTTTGATTTGAACTAATCGTACATGAGTGTTCATGGCAGAATCGACTCCAACAACTGTTCCGTTGATAATTGTGTTATCTTTGAGTTCAATTTGAACGTTTTCACGAACGAGTTTACGCAAGAAATGAACGAGTTTCATTTAAGTATTTTCAGACAGGACTGGTCAAATTCGTAGGTTAATTTTACTTCATGATTTTGATTAACTTTTTGAATACTTTTGATGTAAGGGGGAAATTTATATTGTGAATTCATCTCTTCAAAAACTCTCCAATGTTTATGGATTGTTGCAACTTGCAACACAGAGGAAGAAACTTTTTATAATCATAAACAACCTTTTTTCATCAATCATCATATTAAATTTATAATGCGGTAGAAGCGCATTTTTTCACAGTAATTTGTTTAAAAACTTTATATATTCTCCAATGAAAATATATAGTAGTCATAGATTTCAATTAGATAGTTATTTCTCTAATGATTGTTGTGATATTCTTTCGATATCAGTTGAAATCACATCTTGTACATTTGTAAAATGTAATTCAGGAAAATATAATGATAGTGGTGCTATCATGATATCTTGTTGTACAGCTACAATCGTTAAAAATTGTATTTTTTCAAATTGTTCATCATGGTTGGTGGTTCAATGTTTCGTACACGTGTTTCTTCTGTAGTTTTAGAAATCATAGAGGTGTTAGTTTTTTTCTTGTATTCAAGTTAAATGTAATGAATACTAATTTTACTCAAAATAAATCTAAATTCCAAATTGAAGCATTATCATTTTATTCTAGTGAAAGCGCATTAATTACATATTGTTTTTTTGTTGAAAATACTGTACCAAATAGCCGCTGCATAAAATTTGATTCATGCATTTCTCAGTTTTCATTGGGCATATTTGGATAAAACAAATGTGATTCTGTCTTTCAAATTCTAGATAATGAATCACTATATGTTAAGTTTATTCAAAATGTTGGATTGTCGATCAATTGTAACAGTGCTATAAAATTTAGTTTTCATAATATATCATTCTAGAATTCATTAATGAAAGAAATTAAGATATATATGAATTCTGCTGAATTCTTTGAACAAGAATTTGTACTGTTAGGAATTAATGTAGAAGTTGATTTTCCTATGATATTACTATTAAAAATGTACCAAGATCAACAAAAATACCGATGAAAGCGAACGAAAATGGGAAATAAAACGTAATATATTGGAATGATTTAAATATCATTAGAAATCATAAGAATGATGAAATTGAAGTAAGCATTAATAATCTGAATGACCACAATGAGAAAAGAAATAAAATTCATGAAAATCGATCAAAAACATCAGTTATAACTCCTAAGAAGCTACTATCTAACCAAAAGAAAAATATAAAACTCACAAGATTTATATAGTTTTTTCTGAATTGTTGGCGCCTTTTCAATTATGATTGTTTTCTTTCTTTACAAGGTTGATATAAGTTCATCATCTATTTATTATAAACAAAGTACAAATGACAGACAAGAAGACATTAATGAAATTAAATATCATTCCAGATAATCAATTCTGTTTTTCTAAGTCCTTAAACATCATCATTTCACAAAGACCAGAATACCTCACCATTGTTCGAAGGTGCTAAAAAGATCTCCGAAAAAGATGATGGTAAAAAAGTGAAATGACTCATACTTGACTGATGCCTAGGCTATTTATCTTGATATATTCATGGTTAATCATTCTTATTCAATATTATTTCATGTGCGAAATCAGATAAAAAATAAAAATACGCAAATATTCGATCTTTATCGCAATACAATATTTATTTATGAAATATATCGAATCAAACAATTTATTTGAAACGTAAAAGTGGTGCCTCAGACGTTTCTGTTGTCTTAATCATAAAGTCTTCTTCAGTCAAATCATATCTTCTCATATCAAGTTTATCCAAAATCATATCCTCTCTTCTATTTGGATCTTGTACCAGCTTCTGAATCACATCATAATCATCTTCATCGATTGGATTCACCGCAATATTCAAATCAACCAGAGAAGTTGTAACATTTAGTGCTTCAATAATATCTTTGAAGTTCGAAATTCGATTTCCTGAGATATCCAATTTCTTCAAACTTTTTGATGTCTTTATCAAAAGTGCAACAAATAGAATTCCATTATTACCGATTTGATTTGAGCTTAAATTCAATTCTTCCAAAGTTGAACTTTGTTTGGCACATTCGCAAAGCTTCTGAACACCATTTGAACCAATCTGGTTGTCAGATAAATCAAGTTTCCTTATCGGCGAATGGAGGAGAATCGAGCCAATGGCGTGGGCGCCATTCTGCCGAATTTCATTATGTGCAAATGTCAGTGAAGTGAGAGAATTGAATGCTTTGAAAAGACCTTCAGCAACTTTAACGACAGCTTGGTCAGTTAAAGAATTATCTGTCATGTCAAATTCTTGAAGTGAGCAATATTTCCCTAAATTTATAAAATCCGCGCACATCACCTGGCAGTCCCTCAGGGTGGCACTATGCTCAGCGCGGATATCAAAACTATCAAATTCTTCATACTGCGCGAAGTTTCGGCGGGGTTCGCCGTAAACCAAAGATAACGATTTCAATCCGCGAAATGTCCTGAAAAGCTTAAACATGGAAATTTTAGCCGGCGATCGAGTGAGTGTGATTTTTCTGATAAAAGGGCCGATGATTCTGAGTTCGTGGGAGATTTCGTCGATATTCGATTCGCTCGCATTTTCAAGTTTTCGTGCTGCGTAGTTTTCAAAGAAAAAGCTCTTCCAATTTTTTCGGGCGGGGTCCCTTGGGACATCTGGAAATTGGGAAAGCATCAGTCGCTTCCAAAAAATTCCATCCGGTATCGTCATTACGGCAATCGGGAAAGAAATATTTTCGGGAATCGATCGGAGAACTTTTTGGTGATATTTGCGCGGAACAAGATGTAGTTCTGTGCAGCTTTCATAATTGGCGATGATGGTATTAAGGCAGAGATCGATCAAACGTGGAATAAGCGGATTAGCGACGGTAGGAAGGACGTTGAAAGATTTGGGAAGACCTGATTCTGGTGGTGGTGCGTCGATGAGTCCTTCAGACATAAATACGTTACATATTTCGGAAAAAGTGGAATTTTCGAAACTTTTTGGTAATTATTGAAAAAGTTTTCATTTGATAATCCAAGAAAAGACTTTTATTTTGTTAATTATCATGAATAATTAACTAATATTCCAACATTTATTCTTTTTGTATAAAGATATGCATGTCTTCTGGAAATTCTTGAGTTTCATTAAGTGCAATTAATTCCCATTAATCAAGAATATTATAAGAAATATATAATAGAAGAATATAAATAAATTATTCACATATAAATATTTACAAAATATTAGCTTTTGATCATATGGTATGAAGGTATCATTACCTTTTCTCTTAAATCTTTATATTCAGGATAGATGTCCATCACCCCTCTACAAATAATGAGAGCATTATCATAATTTTTCGCTTTCATTGAACAGTAAGCATAATTATAACCAACTTCAGGATCTTTGTGATCACACAATTGCCAACAGTATCCATAAGCTACTGCTGCTTCTTGATACATTTTTCGTTTCATGTTTACCTGTGCACTCATTTCCCAACCCTTTTTACAGCACATGTCAAGTTCCAAAGCAAGCAAAATAAAATGTTGTGCTGACGAAAAGTTGGTTTGAGTTGTAACAATATGTGCACGAATGAGATATGCTTCTTCAAAGAAAGAAAAAGTTTCATGGAAAGGTTTTCCAGCAAGTACAAAGTTCAAAATACTTGTTGCTTTTTCATAATCACCTTGCTTGGCGTAACATCTTGCCATTCCAACAGAAGCTGGTACTGATCCAGGTGTAAGCTTCATTAAGTTGTTATATATCACAGATGCTTCATCAATACTTTCTTTGCTATTCTTTGAAGTGAGCAAATCACAATATAACAAATCATGTGTGATTTCATCAGTACGAATTGTTTTCAGTAAATCTGCAGCTTCTGACATTTTGTTATTTGATGATAAAGGCTGATCCTCAAAAACACAAAATTTTCGATCAGGATTGATTAATGTATAAAACAATGCAATTTTAGCAGGAATTTCCCATCGTTGACCATTCATGGCATGCTTAAATAATCGACGTGCTTTTTCATTATTTCCTACAAACTGTGCATATAAACCACGAACAAAGTAAAATCCAGGATCATTACTTTTTCCTTTTTTAATATACCTAAGTGCAAATTGAAGGTTTCCACAACGAGCACTAATTTCAACAAGTCTGACAAGTGCTCGATAATAAGTAGGATGAGCATCAAGTACATTTTGCAAGTAAGGGGCATATTCCGATAATTTGGCAGTTTGTGTTGATGTTAAAAGTAGTGCAACGGTTTCATTAGTTGGGTCGATTTCAAGATAATCGATACATATTTTTCTACAATGATCAGAATCATGTCTAGCTTTATAAATTTCAAATAATGCAATTACGGAATCAATATTTAATGGATTAAGTGAAAGTGATTGAGTAAAATTCTCAATTGCTTTTTCACGTTCTTGAAGCTTCATATAATTCATCCCAAT